CCATACACAAGTCGTTTAAAACTTATTAATCTACCTACACTTTCTAGTCGTAGGGAAATGCTTGGCATAATATTCTTAGTGAAACTTTTGAATGGAACTGTTTGCAGTTCTTTTCTACTGTCTGAAATTAAATTTAATATCCCGGTTCGCCTTTCGAGGCAGTTTAGACCTTTACTGCTAAAATCCTGTAGATCAAATTTTGAACTAAACGAGCCATTCCGCCGTATATGTCATGATTTTAATTCTCATTCCAGCACATTTGACTTATCTGACTCACTTTTCAAAATTAAAAAGTCTTTATTGTTTTCTCTTAATAAATGAAAATGTAACAATTTATTATATTGTAACTTTAGATCTTAGCTGTTGAAATTTTTATTTCTGTAGCTGAGCAGTTTTAGATCTCAACACTTAAAAAACTCTCTTGCCTTTTCTGACTCGGCTAATTCCGCACGTATGCGGATTGCGCCCCTCGCGTCGGTTGGGCGGGAGGAGGGTAATCGTTGGGTTTATTATTAAAAAAAAAAAAAAATCTACAATAGATTTCCGTTCATTCGACGACACCTTCTTGCGCTACCCGTAATTATACCCTGAACAGGGTATATTAAATTTGCCACGAAGTTTGTAACACCCAGAAGGAAACGTCGGAGACCCTATAAAATATATACATAAATGATCAGCATGATGAGCTGAGTTGATTTGGCCATGTCCGTCTGTCCGTCTGTCTGTATATATACAAACTAGTCGCTCCGCTATCGATGTGAAATTTTGCACCTGTCCTTTTCTCACAAAGAAGCTGCTCAGATATCGGACCACTACAGCATATAGCTGCCATATTAACTGAACCATCATAGTAAAGTGCTTGTATAAAAACTCTTTCAATTGACGAGATATCTTCAAGAAACTTGGCATGGATTATTATTTAAGGCAACAATCTGATCTCCAGAGAAATTGTATAGATCGGATGACTATAGCATAGAACTGTCGTACAAACTGAACAGTCGGAATCAAGCGCTTGTATGGGAAACTCTTTCATTTGCCGAAGTATCTTCACGAAATTTGGCATGGATTATTATTTAAGGCAACAATATAATCTCCGAAGAAATTGTATAGATCGGATGACTATAGCATATAGCTACCATACAAACTGAACAATCGGAGTAAAGTGTTTGCATGGAAAATTTTTCACGAAATTAGGCACGAGTTATCACTTAAGGCAACAAATTATTCTCCGCAGAAATTGAACGTTCGGAATCAAGTTCTTGTTAGGGGCCTTTGTATTTGTGAAGGGTATTAACGTTTTTTCTTGTTTAGTTTTTAATGTTATCCATTAAAAATACTTTATATTCGGCTGGAAATCACTCCAAAATAGGCACCATTAAGTCGATTCTTTCAATAAAATTAAGAAGAGCGCCTCTAATAATTTTAATACATAGTAGTAATACTAATAGAGGTTGTCATAATATTTACATAAGTAGAAATAAAAGTATACTAGTTGTTTTCCGTGTGCGTATCCCCGCTGCTGTCTTTCCTTGGCGTTGTATTTTGTTGTCGCTGTTTCTGCATGAGATATCTTCCCTTTTGAGTTTCAAGTTTTTTTGCTTTTTAACTTCCCGCTAAGAAAATTGAAAATTTTCTAAAAATCGGGAAGATATTGGTTTCACCCCATTTTGCAAAAATCGAGTTCTCAACAGATCTCGACGTTTTGAGGGTCGAGGAAGCTTCCCCGAACATTTCTACGATGATGTCCGTATGTCTGTATGTATGTGTGGATGTATGTGTGTGTGTGTGTGGATGTATGTGACCCTCTTATAACTTTTAAACGGCTCAACCGATTTGAATAAACTAAACGGCATTCCAAAGGGTTTCATTGCACTTGAATTTCGTGTGAGTTTGGACCCAATCGGACTAGTAGATGTTGAGAAATCTCAAAAATAAAAATTTTGAAAAATCGTTTTTTTCGAATTTCTTCCAAACGACTTGACCGATCGACACCAAAAACTAATCAGTTCTAAACCTTGAAAAAACACATCGTTTGCCGCAAACCGTCAAAATCGGTTGATTTACTTGCGAGATATCGAAAACGAAAAATTTCGAAAAAATCGTTTTTTTCGAATTTCTTCCAAACGACTTGACCGATCAACACCAAAAACTAATCAGTTCTAAACCTTGAAGAAACACATCGTTTGCCGCGGTCGAAATCGGTAGATTTACTTGCTAGATATCGAAAAAGAAAAATTTCGAAGAGCTCAAAAGCAGTGAAAAAAGCGAAATTTGAACGTTAGCGTATGAAATTAGAGGGAAGTTGCAGGGATGGCCCTTGAGGCCAACCGTTTTCCACATTTTTTTTCAGGTTCTAAGTTTCAAATTGTGTGTTGTGTTCGGATTTTTCCAACTGCACAATTGCAAGTGTTTGTTTTTTTTCTTTCACCGGCGTCGTTTTCTTGACACATTACTCATTCAATTGTTCTATATATTTTCTTGGTTTTTTTTTCGCTGATACTTATTTTGTTTGCATTTCAACAGTAACCCTCATATATCACGTTAGCGATACCGGTACATTCAAATGGTACAGTTGCATAATTTTGCACAAATAGTGCATGTATGTACATACATACATATGTAATTTCGACAAAATTTTCAATTTAATTTCAAATATTACTGTATATATTGGATATTACTGTATAATTATATGTATATTGCTTTTTGTTCTTTCCGATTTCCGCTTATTATTTTTTGAACAGTCACAACGGTTTTATTTTAGTTCTTTTTCACTTCTCATATTTTTCATTGTATAAAATCAGCTCAGGAGCTTACCTTATTTCATTTTTGGTCCGCACAAAACCATTAATTTTTTCTCACTGGTTAATAAACAACTTACATGAACCCTTGCCCACCCGCATATTTTCACTTCGGTCACTTTCTATGTTCACGAATATCCAATGTTCACTTTGAGTTATGGTTATTAAAATATTCGGCTGTTCTGTGTTAATAAAATATTTGATCTATATCAAACACTCAAGGTAACAATACGTCGATTTTTATGAAAATACATTCTCCAAAGAAATGTTTCCAACTTCACTAATATTCTCGACTATGCACTCATGTGCAGTTTTTGTGTTAGCACACGCGCCAACATTTTTATACTCTCGCAACATGTTGCTACAGAGTAAAATAGTTTTTAATTTCGCGTGATTCGTTGCCGTCTGCGCCAGTTACCATATATTATATAAATAAGTTCTTTATTTGTATGATGTCAAATTTGAACTTTACCGTCCGTCGAAAGACTCATAGCCCAATACGAATGGCGGGTGGAGTAGAAGAGTCTTCGTTGTCCGTAAAAAAAAGTTTCGTGTCCGCTTATTATAAGTTTTTATACTCTCGCAATCTATTGATACAGAGTATAAAAGTTTTGTTCACCTAACGGTTGTTTGTATCACCTAAAACTAATCGAGTTATTTATATATAAATGATCAGGATGAAGAGACGAGTTGAAATCCGGGTGAATGTCTGTCCGTCCGTCCGTCCGTGCAAGCTCTAACTTTAGTTTTTTGAAACTTGGTAGACATGTTTCTTGGTACCGTGAGACGGTTGGTATTGCAGATGGCCGTAATCGGACCACTGCCACGCCCACAAAACGCCATTAATCAAAAACAAATAAATTGCCATAACTAAGCTCCGCAATAAGATACAAGACACAGGATCACATTGGGGTGGGGCATATGCAGCTAAAATTTAAAGTGGGCGTGGTCATACCTCCTAATAGATTTAATGTGCATATCTCCTAAACCGCTAAAGCTAGAATAACAAAATTCACTGGAAGCAAACGCTTATAGCACCTCTATCGACGGACAACCCCACCCACTTCCCATATAACGGTGCTGTTAAAAACTACTAAAAGCGCGATAAATCAAGCACTAAACACGCCAGAGACATTAAGCTTTATCTCTGGGATCGTATGAGATGACTTTATATGAACCGCGTTCAAAATTAGACAGTGGACAAGTTTCACTTTTAGGTGAAAACCCATATCTTGGGATCTGTTTAACCGATTTCAAATTCGGTACATAACGTTCTTCTCATATTTCTATGTGTGTAAAGGGCGAAAACGGGCGAAATCGGATTGCAAATCAAGCAACAAAGATTGTTTCGAGGTACACCTTTGTGTGAATAATACGTTTAAAGTATGCCACCTTGTGATCAAAAATTGTCTAAATCGAACCAAAACTGTTCAAGCCCCTAGGTACTGAATATGTGTACCCCAGTGCCTATGGTTGATTTTTTACCAAAAATATTGTACAGTGTGTGAGATATATAATTTAAATTAATATAATCAAATAAATAAATGAATCTCTCTATAATAGTATGTCTTTGTGTCAAAAATAGATTGAATCGGATCAATACTTCCTTTAATATAAAATTTTGCTAAGACCTGAAGTATTTCCGGCTTTGATCCTTGCAAGTTGCGAGAGTATAAAATATCGGTTACACCCGAACTTAAAACTGCTTTACTTGTTTATACAAGTAGATAGGTTCACTGTATATTCTTCCTTAATACCTTCGTATTCGCTCTGTATTTGTATTATATTTACTATATTAGAAGGCTATGCTTTTTGAACTTGGAATTTATTTGCCTTTCCATGGTCATTTAAGTTTAAGCGTCTTCTATAGCTTCGTATTGTTGTTTTCAAATTGCTTATCTCGCCAATACATAGCCGAACAAACAAAAGTCCATAAATATATGATAATATACAATCACGTGCATTTGTTGTTAACCATGTGACAGGAATGACTATGAAGCTATTTTGTTGTGATTTCAAACATCAAAAAGTGAACTTAGCCGAAGCACGGTCTTATCTTTGTTGTCGGTTTTTATGTTATTGTTGTTTTTGTGCTAAGCCTTGACGCATGGTATCAACAGCTAGCAGAGGCAGACAAACAATTCGCAAGATGTGAGAATTTACATAAACCCTCGGCTCGCGCAACCTAAGTACAGTCGGTGCGGTGCTGGTCGCCAAATAAGACAACATTTGCCAAATACGGACTTATATTAATTACATATTGCACAAAAACCGATGCATTAAGCACATTGCATTACTATTACTAGTTGCAGATGGAGTCCTGTATTTAAACGCAAAGTTAAAATAATTATAATTAAAAATAAATTAAGCCAATTAATGAATCGTCAATAATTTACAGTGAACAGTTAAGGAAGCAGTGATTCCGCGAATACAAAAACAAGGTAATTATCCAGCTCGTGTAATTGTGTAGTGCCTTCAATGATCGTTTCTGCAAATTAATTCAAATATTCTTATATAAAAGATATTAATTGAAAAATTCCGAAATCACAAAGTTCCAACCGTAAAAACTGATTAAAAACTTGTCTCAAATCAAAAGTCCTTTGTAATATATGCACCAATCGAAAATGTCGTTAACAACTTTGGGTAAACAGAATGACCTCTCTTTGGTTATTGATGAAGGACTCGCTTTGCAACTGGCCGAATCGCAAGTCGATAAGGGAGAAGTGCTGGCAAACCGCTTGGAGGATATTAGCGTTCATTTAAAGCAATTGAATCATCTCAATCAGTATATAAAATTAACCGAAGAGCTGAATGAACACAAGAAAAATGACGCATGTCCATCAACATCAAATGGCTGTCCGATTGCGTACATGCAACGCCCAATTCGTTTAAAGAATATTGAAGGCAAATCGGAAGTATATGACAAATTGCATTTGAAAGGACAAAAGGTAAATAGAAGTGTGAAAATATAAAACATTTTTTAATAATATCAAAATACCAAAATGTTTTAAATCAAGAAAAACGTCAACTAAGTAATTTTAAGTTTGACCTTGAATGTCACCTAAGTGGTTAAGATAATCAAAAATTTTCTAAAGACTTTTTTGATACAAACATTTGATTCTGCTCGTTTAGTTTGTGTGGCCGCTATATGTTATAGTGGTCCGATATCGGCCGTTCCGTCAAATCAGCAGCTTCTTAGTGAAAAAAGGACAGGTGTAAAATTTCAGATCGATAACTTAAAAACTAAGGGACTAGTTTGCATATATTATATATATATATACGGACAGACAGACGGACATGGCTAAATCAACTCAGCTCATCATGCTGATCATTTATGTATATATTTTATAGGTTCTTCGACGTTTACTTCTTGTTGTTACAAACTTCGTGGCAAACTTAGGGTATATTAAGTATAATTATAATAGTAAAAATTTTACTAAAAAAGTGGCTTAAGCTTTACATATTTTTTAATTAATTAATTGAAATAATACAACTAGAATTTTTGAAAAATATAGTAATTAATTTTTCCTTTTATTTACTAAAGAATTTATCATGCTCAAAATCGACATGTATGAGCAGTGTTATGGTGTTCTACACAGTTTCGTCAGAGCCACGCCCTCAAGAAGAAGTGCTCGAACAAGCTAGAAACTTGCTAGAGCAATATTTTACTTCAATGAAAAAGTAAGTACAAATATATTGAATTGTATTTACATATGTATGGTGCTATACCGTTGATAACTGCGGAAGAGTCTGGTTTATTCTAAAAGCTTTTTTATTAAGTAAGGAGAAAATAAGTTTGTATGTTAAACTTCTATATCTTCTTTCTATCTCATATTCTACATATATATATGGTAATTTCCGATTTCCTAAACAAAGTTTAACAAATTTTGTAACACTTTGAAGCGTCGGTCAATATTTCATGTGTATGTTCAGTATGTTATATCTTTGTTAAAACTTCAACTGAACTTATAAATTAGCTATGCGACTTTAAGATTCAATGGCTAAATCATTAAAAGCATTAAACACTATAACTCAAGTTTGCAATGTAAATTATATATGTTCCCATAAAATTTGCATTATTACAGGGCATCTAGTATGCGGCATGCGGCTCGCTGGAGGGAAGTGCAGTTGAGTATTGAAGCAACTGGTGAATATCAATTGACCGAAGCTGAATTAACTTTTGGCGCGAAGGCGGCTTGGCGTAATGCTTCCCGTTGTATTGGACGCATTCAATGGTCAAAATTGAAGGTAAAATGCCACAACTATTTAGAGTTAAAGAATCAGTAATCAGTAAATTTAAAACTACTAACCGGTTAACGTGGAAATGGAAACAAATAAACTTTACTGCCGAAAAACTCAAGTAACATAAACTTACTGGTTGCTCTTTACAGACTTTAAGTAAAAAAGTACCTAGAAAACTGCCCTTATTCAAACTTAGCAATTTTTGAAGTTCAACTTAATACACTTTTTGGTTGGATTTTTAAAATATTGCAATGTTAACATTTGTATTGGGTAGCTAACAAGTATCTCTTCTCATTCTAACATTCGATTATAATTGATAATTATCCGTTTAAAGTATATATTTTGTATATTTATAGAAACAATTATTTACAAAATTTTTTACCAAGATTCATTCAATTAGATTCTTTAGTTTATTTCTTAAATGAATCAAAAGATGAATGTACATTTTTTTTTTCTTATACATTTATAGGTATTTGATTGTCGTCATGTGACCACTACAAAGGGCATGTTCGAGGTCTTGTGCAATCATATCAAATACGGCACAAACAAAGGTAATATTCGGTAAGTAAAATTATTGTGTTAAAATAAAAAGCTTAAGTATTCAATCATAAAAGTGGTTGCCATTAATTCGTTTATATACGCAATAATATTTTACATATCATATAAAAATATGTATTTGTAATGCCAAATTTTTTTTATAAACTATGTGTGTAGGATGTTGTCTCTAACAAAACTCATGTTTACCTTGTATTGGATTATATTGGGACAATAATACAATCTACAATTATATGTATATATATACTTCCAACCACCTCATTTGCAATCAGTCAGTATAACGAGCTTAATTTAAATACAAGCTAGCAACTCACTATCACATGATATAGAAACGATTAAAATAATAGCGATTGAAATATATGAATACTAACTAAAAAATAAATAATAAGCAAATTTAAATACTATTTTTAAGAGATTTTTCTGAATATGCTCATTAGCAATTAGCATTATAGTAAAATTGAAAATACAAAAAACATAAAGGGTGCGATACCAGCAACAGCCAGGAATAAAGAAAATAGTTTTATGTTATTATTCCAAAATTTCCAGGAATATATGTCAATCAATCTTCGCTATGTTTTTAAGACGGATAATTTATATGTGTAGTCAGTGAAAACCTTCAAATTGCGTTTGAAAAGCAGTTTTGTAGCGCCATATGCATTAGGTTATTATATCACCCTGTGCTAAACACACTTTTGGGTTACTGCTTTATTAATTGAGGTCAATTACAAAATTAATTTTTTTTTATTTATAAATATTGATCTTTGATTACACCAACGAATACTTTCGAATGAGTCAGTAGAGAGATGGCAAATGATGAGATTTTTCTGTAATCAAACGTCCCATCAAATTGAATAATTAGAATAAGAAATGAAAAAGTTTCAATGCGGGAGTGGCCCCGCCCACAATTAGGTAAAACCACATATCTCCGGACCTACTCAACCAATTTTTATTAAATAAATATCACTATCCCGATGTCCTAAGATATTGTAAAAATGGATGCAATCGGACTACAACCATGCCTACTTACCATATACATATGTAGCATAATTTTAAATTCCATATGATTATTTCACTTACCAGTACACAAATCAAGCAAAAATTAATATATTCATATTGAAACGTTGCACAAATAGTGCATTTGGGGTATATCATCTCGAGTCTAAAAATTGTTAAAATCGGACCATAACTCTTCAAGCCCCCGCATACCGAATATGTAGACCCCTGTGCGTATGGCTGACTTTTTGCCAAAATATCTGAGAGAGATACCTTCTGCTCAACGCAAAACGAGACTTTATCCATAACTCGACCAGGACATGACATATGGCCATAATTTTTTTTGCTTAGGTTGGCAGGACTGTTATATAATATGTTTACATGTCAAATTTGAGCGCGATCTGTCACATAGTTTTTTTTAAGGCACTATAAACAAGTCAACCTCGAGTGTGTTTTTCGATTTTTACTATGGAAATTAACGTTGAGCAAAAGTTTTTGTTTGAAATTTTGTTATTTCAATGGAATAAGTGCGACGGACGCAATGAAAATGTTGCAGAAGGCATATGGGGAGTCTTGCCTATCACGTGCACGTATTTTTGATTGGTATAAGTCGTTCAAGGACGGCCGTACATCGCTGGAGAACTTGCGCCATAATCGTCGTCCAGCAACGTCAATAAACGAAGAAAACGTCGAAAAAGTAAAGAAAATTGTGTTGAAAAATCGTCGTGTGACTGAAAGAGAGATAGCTTGTGAGCTCAACATATCAAATGGATCCGCTCATAGCATTATTCACGATGTTTTGGGCATGAGACGTGTGTCTGCTCGACTTGTTCCAAAATCCAGCTCATACGTCTCGTCTTGTACGCGATTATTTGACCAAAAACAACGTAAATATTGTTCCGCAAGCACCGTATTCAGCCGACATGGCACCGTGTGACTTTTTTCTTTTCCCTAAACTCAAATTGCCGCTTCGTGGAAAGCATTTTCAGTCGATTGAAGTCATAAAAGAGAATTCGAAGAAGGAACTGAAAGCTATACCTAAAGCGGCCTACCAGAAGTGTTAGGAAGATTGGAAAAAAAGGTGGCATATGTGTATCGCCTCTAATAGTGACTATTTTGAAGGGGATAAAATAAATATATCGGGTCAATACTTCTCTTAGCCTCATATATGTACCTAATGTAAGGATTTTCGACCCTCCAGTTGACTTTATACCAGAGCTCTTGGTAATCGACATTATTCGAATAACTATTATGATACAATGGCCTACTTTGTACCACATACATATATCAGAAATGTGGGAGTTATATTAGTAAAATTACTATAGTGTATTTTTTTAATAACAGTGTATCTTTGTGTCTAAAATGGCTAAAATCGGCCGAAAACTTGCCTTGACTGATATTCAGGATTTTGAAACATCCAGCTAACTTTACTCCATATATGTATGTATATTTATAAAATCTCTTGAAAATATGTTCTCAAGTTTACCTGAACAATGTCAAAAATGTATGCCATTCCATTTTTATGCGCTTAATCATCCTATATAAATATTTCCGACTTTCCACCTGACTTTTTATCGTTTAAGTTGATCAAAATGTGTGATATTTTAATGACACGTTTTATTAAAAGTTATTATATAATATTAATGGCTTGGCGCTCAATATAAATGGAATTAGTCTTGGTTTAAACCTAATATTCCTAATATAATGTGTTTAAATGACTATAAACTCCCCTTCCAACTACACCGCTTCATCAGGGTAAATAATGACACATCCTAATACAACACACCACACCTTGGAACACAACTCGCACTCACAACATACACGACCACACTGCACACGATGTCACCACAGAAGTTGCCACCATACACGATGACACCCCACACAATCAACCATAAAAGAGGGATTGGATCTTCAATTCACCACATTCGAAATAATTCCGATCTCTTTTGCGCAAAGTCACCGTGTAATCGCTATCTCCGCTACCGACCTCTTTAAAATCTTGGTATTAACTTTTAGTTCAAAGGTTGTGAAAAATAACATTTAATAAAAAAAATAAAAAATAAACATTTTTAATTTAAACCTAAAAAGAGCGTTTTATGAAAAAAGGGAAATAACATGTCTTTCGTGAGTGCTAACATTGTAGCATAATTATTCATAATGAATTTCGATTATTTGGTTAATGTTTTTGACATCAACTCAATATATTAAATTTACCCTCTTCGGTTTATATCACACATATCTCATTTGAGGAAGATTTAAGTAAAATTTTCGCTGACGGGTAGTAGGATATAGTAACAGTGAGTCTATGACCTTCAAAATAAAGAATTTGATCTCTTCACGATTTTGTTCAACAATGGAGTTGAACCCTTTCGCTTCATTTTTTAATGCCAATTCATGAAGCTATTTAGCCTGCTTTGATCCTTTCTAGTTGCTAGGGTATGAAATGTCTCTGTCGTAAGTCAACTTTTGTCTTTGATTTTTAAGTCTTTATATTATATCATGTAAGTTAATTTGATTCATACTAATATTTGCACCTCTTAGAAGACACACACACACATCAGTTCAATCGCCGTTAACGGCAACTTTCGAATGACATTGTTTTTGGGGATATCTTTTTATTACTTTCGTTTTTTCCCTATAAAATTATTACATTTACACAGGGGAGGAATTGGCATATAGAAAGTTCAAGAAACGATAACTGAAATATAATAAAATAAAATAGGGCTGAACCAAGTAATCTGTGAGTGTTTGATATGCTATTCAGATTTACTATTATTACTATTATTTGTAAATTAAATAATTTATTTTGGTTTAGTTTTTAGTTAGTATGTTATGTTTTAGAGAATTACTGAACTTTTATAATGTTTCTTAAATGTTATTGTGATTTTAAAATAAATTATTATTATTTAATTTCGATCGCAGTTCTGCAATTACGATTTTCCCTCAACGTACGGACGGTATCCACGATTATCGCATTTGGAATAGCCAACTTATTTCCTATGCTGGTTACAAACAAAGCGATGGCTCGGTTGTTGGTGACCCCATGAATGCTGAATTCACTGATGTAAGTTAATGATGCTATAAATATATATAAATAGATTTTGCTTTATTTTTCTTAACCAACAAAATTACAACATTAAATGTTTAATTCATCTCTTAAATATATTAAATTATTCATCCATTATTTTCATATTCATTTTCTTCTATTCTCTTTATGAGCGAGTGAAGATTATTACCTACACCCATATACATGTTAATAAATAGAATATCATTCTCATCATTGATGCAAAAGCATATCGGGCATCGGGACAATAAAATATAAATGTAATTATTTTTTTTTTTTAAAGAATTAAAAAAATAATATAATAGTACGCGGTAAATGTAAACGATATAAATAGGATAAAGTGCTTTGATAGTTATTTAAAGCCAGTTAAAATAATTTCATCAGATGTAAATGAATGATAGATCTTTTGTTTCAATTTATGGATAAAAAAAGCAAAGATAAATTAAATTAATAGAACAAAAAGCTGGTCATTTTAAATATATACAATATGAGCGATGACCATTTCACACAGCAGACTCATTAGTTCGTTAAAACTCATCTTAAGGCCAGTGGGTTAGACTATACTTTTCGTTTTTTCATTTGGAGTATAAACGCATAAGTTGTTAAAGGAGCCGACTCAGGAGCAAGCCACATACAATTGGTCGTGTGAAAAACACGAGTTCTCCCATCTGGCGATAGAACGATTGACATTGTGCCGGCACCAAAAAAAAAATGCCTGTACTTGGGAGGCGACACATATATTCCTATGTAATCCCTCACACCCTAGAATTTAGAGAAAACTGTAAAAAATCGAAAAAAACACGAAAATTGGGGGTTTTGGTAATTGAAAAATGTCTGGGAATTTTTCGAGCTCAGAATCGATTTCTTACTTAAATGCCATGATGGCATACAAGCCGTTAACCCAGGAACTTTGGCAGACGGTCCTGTTGCCCGCAGTCACCACGTGGAGGTGCCCTGGTTACAGGCACAAGTAATAAGTGTTTTACGATATAAATGAAAAGCCTTCACAGTGTTGAGTTTGGACAATTTGGAAGTAGTAAACGATTGAAATTTTATTGCGGAATAGACAAATATTGAATTCAAGGAAAAACTTGTTGTATTGTATATATTAGTATTGTAGGTATAAACTTATGGTATAACTATTATAGTAGTAAATGCTATTAGAACTTACCCTTGTTGTTTAGTATTCATTGCCGCTAATAAGCGATATTTAGCTATAGCTGAGATATCTGATTTCTGGCTCGAAATATAATATTTAAAGAAAAATCATGTAAACAAATTCATATGTATTCTAATCAGGGTTGCAAATATTGTATTAAAAAACAATTGACTTAACATTTTAATTATTATTTCTTATTACTATTTAATCCCAAGTTTATAATTAAAAATTAAAAAAGGAAATTGATTAAGAATTTAAATTTATCGCGTTGAACTAAAGCTCACACAGAACCATCATCCTCAACACTCTAGAGCAGTGGTCGGCAAACTTATACCTTCAACCGATATATTTTATCAGTTTTTAATCCAAGATTATTAATTTAATTCTTACTATTACATTAAAACATAAAATTGTCAATTTTCAATTTTTATTGCAATACTTATTGGATTAAAAATCAACTTTTCCATTTTTATTATAATTTAATGTTTAAATTTTTAATTTTTAACCAGTACATCTTGGATTTTATTTTTAATTTAATAGTAAAAATTTTAAATTTTCAACATCTTAAATAACCAATATGGGATTATTAATTAAAAATCGAATATTTTATCCTAAAGTTTTGAATTAAAAAACTCGCAATCCTGATTCTAAGTTTTCACACCTTGTGTTTTCTTTCTAGGTATGCTTGAAAATGGGTTGGAAAAGCAAAGGCACTGAATGGGATATTCTGCCATTAGTAGTTTCCGCCAATGGAGAAGACCCGGAATTATTCGAATACCCAGCTGATTTAATATTAGAAGTGCCCTTTTCGCATCCAAAGTGAGTATATAAGTATCGAAATACATTCAGTCAAATGTTTTATATAGAAGAAATCAAAATACCAAAATAAATAGTCCCAGTTTAAGCCGAATATTGAGTTAAGGTATACCAAAATGTGGTTAACAAAAATGTTTTAAGGGTTTTGGTACAATATGATAATAATGAAAATTAACTTTATTTGTTCAATATAAAAAAAATAATAATAATGAAAATAACTTAATTTGTACTTGTAAAAAAACAAAAAAAAAGTAATCGTCCCCTAGTATATAGTGTTAATAAGTGTATTGAGTATTATAATATTTGTTTGATTTGTTGATGTTCACTCGCAAGTAGAGATATTTTTAAAAATTCACAGCAATTACAATATATTTTTTAAAATATTTGAATGACTATATCAGTATTTAGTATTTAAAAAATATCATTATTAACGTCTTCTCCCTTCCTTTGTAGGTACGAGTGGTTCACTGAACTGGATTTGCGCTGGTACGCTCTCCCAGCTGTCTCATCCATGATGTTTGATGTGGGCGGCATTCAATTCACCGCCGCTGCATTCAGCGGTTGGTACATGTCCACTGAAATCGGTTGCCGCAATTTGTGTGATACAAATCGACGCAACGTATTGGAGGTTAATAATCGGAATAAACCATAAATATTTCATGTAAAAACTGAACACTATATTTTCATTTATGGAAAAAAACTCATAAAAATCTTCTAATATATAAAATGTTAGGTTTTACTTATTTTTAAACCTACTTACTCTCCAGACCGTTGCGAATAAAATGAAACTTGATACACACACAACTTCTTCCTTGTGGAAAGATAAAGCTCTGGTTGAAGTTAATTTGGCTGTCTTGCACTCATTCCAAACTCGCAATATTACAATTTTGGATCACCACACGGCTAGTGAGAATTTCATGAAACATTTCGAAACTGAATCAAAAACACGGTAAGAACAAGAGCAATTGGTGAATATGAAAATTAAATTTCTTCATACATTTTTAAAAATCTGATAGTATTTATTGTTTGCAAACATTTTTACTACTAGCATATATTTTTGAATTATGTGGCTTCTTATATTGTAGCTGACACGCAACGCAAACATTAATTTATGGTAGTTAAATTTTAAAGCAAACTTCAACAATAATATAATATTTTATTGAATGTTAATATATTACATTTACTACTATTAAACGTAAAACATAAATTTCCAAAACTTTATTTTAGCAACGGGTGTCCAGCTGATTGGATTTGGATTGTTCCACCACTATCTAGTTCTGTAACTCCAGTTTATCATCAAGAATTTGCACTGTACTATTTGAGGCCTTCATTTGATTATCAACATCCCGCTTGGAGGGTGCATGTGTGGGAGAAAGAACGCGGCGAAATCAAGCCTAGGCGCAAATTCAACTTTAAGCAAATTGCAAGGTAAGCGTAATTATTTTGAAACATAAAATTTAGAAGGTTCAATAAATGAAGTGGGTACTAAGATAGGTAAGAAACTTAAAAATTAAAGCATATATTATATTGTATATACAACTGTATCCAAAAATAAATAATTAAGTTATACAAACACATATATTAGTAACATCATATTATTTTAAAATATTTGAATGAATACGTACGTTGCAAGACGGGTATATGTTAGCAAACATGTAAATTACTTGTTACTGTTCACGCTTTCTCACTCTATCCAATTACAATTATCGCATGTTGGCACTTCCTATGCGACTTCTAAGTGCCGTTTCACACAGGGATTCAAAAGAGTCTGATGTTTTTCAAATTTTCTTTTGGTGTCGCTCTGGGCATTCACACGGTCAAAAAGAGTCCAGCAACTCGAGTCTAGTTTTTCTGCATTCCTTTTCATAAAATTTTCGTAAATATTTGTGCGGTTCGTCTGCGCAACACTGCGTGCTGCGTATTTCATTTGTATGTTGAGATGATGGTCACACATTTTGCTTGCAATGAATTACCATGAATATGGTAGAACAATATGCATATTACAAGTACCTACCCGCTAAATAGTTTCAAAGAAATACTAAAGACGGGAATTCCCTAATCCACAAGAATGTATTGAATATCCGCTACTAATATTTTCATGGCCAAATTTATAATAGGAATTTCCTAATCTTTAAGTATTAAAAACTCATAATTTCTTTACTCCGTATTAAAAATTCATAATTTCTTTACTCCAAAATCTATATCTTAATTTTCTCCTTATTTACAATTTGTCATAATATTTCTATTATTCTATGCATACGTATTTGCATATTACATACAAAAATAGATAACAGAACTCAAATTTGCGATCGAATTCATTTGAAACCGAGCGCTCTTGCAACCATTCAAAGAATTTGAAAGTGAAAAGGAATGCTGAAAAGGGTAGCAACGAGCTGTTACGAACAAGAACACAAAGCGTGCCACCCGAACACGAGTGGCACGGTCCCTTCGTCTTTCCTCGTCGTCCCCTCGCCCACAATAAACTGGTATGAGACTCTTTTGAGTCCCTGTGTGAAACGGCACTAATATAATAAATATAAGGTATACATATGTTATGGTTATGTTAACAGTATGACATACATGAGTTACGGAATCTGTTTACAGTGTGTTAGATGAATGCAATATAAGACAATTTTCGGGAAAAGTATTTATATTTTAACACTAACTTTATTATATATATATATAGCATTAAAAAAAATTCAAGACTCCTTTTTTTTACGGTCGGAAGACCATTAGAAATTGCTTTATATTTCACAGGATAAACGACAACTTCCTGACCTGGCTGTATAACAGGGGAGCCAACTTAAACGATTGTGGTAACAGCTATCACAAAATCATTTTTTCCTGTAATATACATATAAGTATCTTCCACTTGGATGAAACGTTCTTTCTTTAGGATGCTACATAATATAATCTAGAAAATTTAATAGTTATTTAAATACGTTAGGTTAGGTTAATTTAGGTTATGAGGTCGATCCTAACATGGAGAACGCCGCTCCGTTGTGTTACTTAAAAATACGTTATTTTATTCTAAATAGTGTTGATATCAATATCTAATTAACTCTCCCAAATTTGTAATTTATTTGCAATATTAAAAGTTTTAGCTATAAAAAGAAAACACAAATCAGTATGTCAAACTTTATGAACGTTTCGCCTTGGAATTTCATCTATAGAGATATTAAAGGAAATTATTTTCATTGAAATAATTATGAAAATGAAGCTTACCTGTTGTAGCGCAAAATTTTCCGGCGTCCAATGTAAACACTTCTTCCTGAAGAATTGCATTGAAAAGCATATTTCAGCATGTTATTTTTTGATCGTCTGCTTTATGAAGATTAGCCTTAAATGGATTACGGAGCTGTTTGAATCTGTTTTAAAATATTATTGTTATAATATACTTAATGACTAATGCCTATAAGACAAAAAGAAAGATTTTCATAAGAGTATGAACGAAGGAAGAACAAGTATTTTTGAAATTGCTAAAAAAGTCTTTATTATGGTATTTGACAGAACTGCTTTTTTATAATATTGGTGCACGCCTTCATGTTTTGAAAAAATTACCAAAGACTGGAAAGTTAAAGTTTATATCTGTATTGCTTCTGAATTCGCATTTCGAAAGTACATAATAATATTTTTTAAGAAGTTTATAAACTTCCAAATTATTTATAACACTTGGTAAAACACTCAATTTAAATTGCAATTAAATTAAAATCAAAAAGAATGTTTTGCATATCTTATGTATTATAATTTCAGAGCCGTTATCTTCACATCCATTTTATACACGCGTGCTTTGGCCAGACGAATTAAAGCCACCGTCTTGTATGCCACTGAGACCGGCAAATCTGAACAATATGCTAAACAATTATCTGAGTTGCTGGGACACGCCTTCAATACACAAGTAAGTTGATACATATTTACATACAATATATGTATGTATGTTTAAGAATTGAAAATAAAGTAGCTTATAGCAATAGAGGAAACCACACCTCTACGAAAGCTACCCAATTTTAATAAATATCGATTCTTCTAAGAATTTTTATGTGTAAAGATATTTTTCATCAACTGTCACTAAACGAACTGAATCTGATAATGATACACACAAACCGTTATGTGTAAATATTTCCTTTATGCGTATTACCTGTCCTGAACTTTCAATTCTGCCAAAACCATTTCCAATGAACACATATATTCTCATTTAGAGTCTAAATGCATACATATGTAAGAAATGTCTTCGTCGCATTCCCTAACTGCGATCTAAACAAGTGATTATGTGCATTTGTGTGCTTCCACAGCTTTAACGACTTGTATAAATAATAATTTAATAGAGATTTGGCTCAGATCGATAAGTTGAAACGAACTGGTTAGTTTGGCGGGTGTATGTGACTGTGTGATTGCTTTACTGTTGTTATTGTTCTAGCGGCAAAAGTGAACGAAAAACATCCTACCATTAGGATGAAAATGTGTCTTTCGGTTTGAACATAATTGATGAGAGTATTTGTTGATACACGAGGTGGTTCACACATCCGACGACAACGAACAAACATTACTTCACACACACACACACTAAGTTAGAAAGTGACTAAAAATCATGATAATGATAAATGGATGATGGATGATGACCGCATGACCTAGATTCACCAATGTTCGGACTTCGACAAACTGCAGTAATTCCCCAGGCAAATTTCTGTAATTGAAACGCTTCTTAGAAAGAATGTTGGAGAGAGAATTTTCTTATAGTACGCAGTACAGTTAAGACTTAATCGACATGCAGTTTTAAAATAATCTCGATCTTATCCTGATATATTAATTAATTTATTTATCCTTTGTTGCTTTAATTTTATTTTAGATCTACTGCATGTCAGACTATGATATTTCCAAAATCGGGTACGAGTCTCTCCTTCTAGTAGTTGCTTCCACATTCGGCAATGGTGACCCTCCAGAAAATGGAGAGGTAAGTTAAAGTAATAAACGTAAATTAAGTATGCTTTGTAAATCTTTAAACAGTGCAAAGTGGCAACGTATATATATTTGCACTTATACTGACACTAATAAGCTTATAATGTTTCCCAGCTGCTTTCAACTAATTACACAGTTTTTTCTTCCACTTGTCCTTATTTTTGCTGACATGAACTATTGATCCGTCGTCATTGCCATTTGTATTTTGTCCTTCATCAACTACTTCAATTTATTTGCTGCGTCATTGCAATTTGGGAAAACATAACAGCTATTCTCGCAAGATTTGTACGACCTGCGTGAGAACGCAGCAACCAATAAGGATAGAGAGTAAGTAATACACATTGTAAAACTGCTGTCCGTTGGTTTAACCCATAATTTTACTAAAGATTTATGATTTAATTGTAAATGATAAGAGATTTTTATCGACTTTACTAAAGAGAACAGTATTTCATAGTAAATCCCCAAAATAACAAGTAGAGAAGTAGTTAGCTAGTGAATCGAAATTCAACACGTCTCGTCATACTGATCATTTATATATGTATAACTTTATCTCGATTAGTTTTAGTTGATTAAAATCGTCTAGACCAAATTTTGAACTAAACATTTCATTTATCAAACTTACTTTTTAACATTAAGTAAATCATACAATATGTTTTACAAGGTTGAGTTTAAATAGGCACATACAATACTGAAAGGGCATTCGGTTCAGAAGTTCACCCACTTGCTGATGTTGATTCTTAGAAATTGAGAGAGTATACAAGTATAATGCTTAGCTGCAACCAAGCATAGCTATTTCTTACTTGTTTTTATAATCTTGCAACGTGTTGCTACAGAGTTAATTACTTTTGTTCTCCGAACGGTTGTTTGTATCACATAAAGCTAAACAAATAAGTATGAAGTTATATATACATTTGTATATAAATGATCAGGACGATGAGACGAGTTGAATTTCGAGTGACTGTCTGCCCGTCCGTTTATCTGTGCAAGCTGTAACTTGAGTAAAAATAGAGATATCGTAATGGCACTTGGTACACGTGCTACTGGGCAGAAAAGTGAGAACAAGTTCATAGCCACAATCGAACCCTTGCCACGCTCACAAAGCGCCATTATTCGAAAAATTTTAAAATACAAAACTATAATTTAATAGAACAAATCTCAATAATAAGGGGCACCTGTGGTTTGAACCTTTTTAAAAAGTAGGAGTAGATCCTAATAGCTTAAATGTAATCGATAAATCAATAACTGAAATCACATGCCTCCGGACCAACACCAATAATTTCAACCAAATTTGGTACCTAGGACTTGGTTGACATTCCCCATACAGTGCGAAAATAAACGAAATCCGACTAAAACCACGCCTACCTCCCAAATTGTACAACATTAAATTCCTTCTGATATTTTCACTTTCCAGTAGACAAATCAAGCACAAATTAATATATCGGAATACAAATTTGCACTAATATTGTATTTATGGTTAACATTGTCAAAATCGGATAATAAATATTCAAGCCCCCAGAGACCGGAAATGTGAACCCCAGAGCCTATGGCTGATTGTGTACCGACAATATCAGGCATTGGGGAGATATTAGGTAAAGTAAAAAGTTCGTTCGGTTTTTTATTGCTTTTCAAAAGATGATAACTTTGTGTACATTTATGCGATTTAAGTCAAATATGCGCCGTTTTGTTCGTAAACTTGTTGCCAACGAGGTGCCAACTTCATTATACCCCTCTCGTAGAAGACTGCGTCCCTATTACCAAAAAACTCGGAGTGCCAATTTTCACAGGCCTCTCTTGAGGCCAACTTCTCACCATTAAGCGCGTTCGCCATGGACCGGAAAAGATGGTAATCACTTGGTGCCAGGTTCGGACTATAAGGTGGGTGCATTAAAACCTCCCATCCGAACTCCAGGACAACAAAAGTAGTTTGCTAGGTTCCGTTCCGGTAATTTCGATGTCAAAGATGCACCACGCGTCGGGCCTCCCGTCGTCGAAAATTGCGATAAAATCATGGAAAGAGTGGAAACAGACCGTCACGTGAGCACTTATTTAATTTCTGAGGAACTAAAGATAAGCCAGAAAACCGTTTGGTTCAAAAAGAAGCTCAATGTTTGGGTGCCACACGAACTAACGCAAAAAAACATGATGGACCGAATTTCCATCTGCAAATCACTGCTGAATCGCAAAAAAATCGACCCGTTTCTAAAGCGGATTGTGACTGGCGATGAAAAATGGGTCACTTACGACAACATTGAGCGCAAACGGTCGTGGTCAAAGCTCGGGAAAGCGGCCCAGACGGTGGCCAAGACCGGATTGACGGCCAGGAAGGTTTTGCTGTGTGTTTGGTGGGATTGGCAAGGAATCATCTACTACGAGCTGCTCCCCTATGGCCAAACGCTAAATTCGGCCCTCTACTACGAACGAACTTTTACTTTACCTAATATGTGTGTACGTCAAAACTTGGTTATAGCCATAATCTACAAAATAGAAAGATTTTCTAACTTTCGGCTGACTTTATACCCCATATATCGACCAATATGTGAGTTATCTTATTGTAATTAAATTGAGTCAACGTGTTTTTCGTCCAATGCACCGTTAGGAGAAAAACATATACATACTCTTGAAATGTTCGGTTGCACTCGAACTTAGCTCTTCCTTACTTGTTTTGATAACAAATCTTTTGTGATTGAGCTTTTATTCTTTCATGTGTAATTCGAGGTTGATGTTGAATGACTTTGTTTTCTGTAATATTCGTATACGCTGTTGGCGAAAAGCAAACACAAACAATCAATGTGGTATTTTGTTCGATGTTTCTGTTAACAAATCCTGGAAGTGTGCTACAGATTCAGCGAATCATAATCGTGTGTACATATGTATGTGCAGATGTACATTATACAAATGAAAATGAGTTGATGAATTTTTATAAAAATAATCACTCAAACACTGCTTTAACGCCACATAAGCACAACATTGACTGTAAACACGCTTCATAAATACAACACTGACGACAACCATCGGACGCTATTATGTAAGTTGTAACAATTTTGCTCTTTGATTTTGGACGTGTTTGTACCCTTGCAACAATTTTTGTGTATTCGTCAATAAATTGAAGCAATTTTACACAATATGACATACAATAGTTAAGGGGTGGTCACAAGCGTCGTATTTTAGAGACTTAGAAAAAGCTTGTGAACTGCTCAACTATTTTTTTTAAAGAAATATTAACTACAATTTTACAATTTAATGAAAAAATTTTTTGTTCATCTTTCTTTATATAGCTTTGATGTCACTTCCTCTAAATATCAAGGACTTAACCAATCAAAGCCCTTGAAGAAATTAAGGTTAGTCAGCACTTCAGTATAAATTATCTTTCTGGAAATATGCGTATTTGAGATAAGGTTTGAATTGCTTCAGCATATCTCTACATTTTTATTATTAAAGCTTCGCCGTTTTTGCACTTGGTTCTACGACCTATCCGAATTTCTGCGCATTTGGAATTTATCTAGATAAAATTCTTTGTGAACTTGGTGGCGAACGACTTTTTGAGGTCACATGTGGTGACGAAATGTGTGGTCAAGAGCAAACATTCCGTAAATGGGCACCAGAAGTTTTTAAATCTGCTTGTCAGATATTCAATTTAGATTATGCAGAAGGCTTGTCCGATGCCTTCCATGACGATACACTAACAGCGAGTACTGTGCGCATGGTGCCATCACAACGAGAAGGTACTGTTGAACAACTACTTTCTAAATATCACAATAAGAAGGTGCAACGCTACAAGATGAAATCAGCACCTCGCAACCTTACTAAAATTGTTGAAGATGAGAAGCCTACTATTTTGGTAGAAATTTATGCCCCTGGCTTGGATTATGAACCAGGTGATCATGTAGGGATTTTCCCTGAAAATCGCAGTGACATCGTAAATGGTGTGTTGAAGCGTCTTACCGGCTTCGAAGATCCCGATGAAGTACTACAAGTACAAGTGATGAGAAAGAAAAAAACTCCCAATGGCACCTTCAATTGCTGGGAACCCCTGGAAAAGATACCTGCAGAAACACCACGTGCACTTTTGACACATTTCTTCGATATAACTACACCAGCTCAGCGAGAACTTTTGAACTTGTTAGCAGATTTCTGTGATGATAACTATGATACCGAACGTTTGCAGAAGCTTGGCAATGATTCCGCAGCATATGAAGAGTGGCGTCAATTGCATTTACCCACATTACTGACTGTTTTGGAACAATTTCGTTCCTGCAAACCGCCCGCTGGTTTGCTCTTCGGTAACCTCATGCCATTACAATCACGTTTCTATTCCATTTCATCGTCACCACGCAAGGTCATTAACGAGATACATTTGACTGTGGCCTTTGTAAAATACAAGAATCAATGTCGCAATGAACGTTTCGGCGTTTGCTCGGGCTACTTGGCCAACATGGAAGCGCAAGAGCCCCTATACTTCTTTGTTCGAAGCGCGCCCGGTTTTCATTTGCCAAAACATACATCAGAACCAATGATACTTATTGGACCTGGCACTGGAATTGCGCCTTTCCGTTCATTCTGGCAAGAGTTGGAAGTATGGCGGGAGTTAAGGATGCAACGCTCGAAGGTATGGCTTTTCTTTGGTTGCCGTACACGTGAAATGGACTTATATGCTGAGGAAAAAGCTTGGCTGGAACGTGAGAAGATCTTGGATCGAGTATTATTGGCACTGTCACGTGATCCAGAAACACCCAAAGTGAGTCAAATTGTATATATGTGCATATATAGGTACTTATACTTATATGTGTATCTAGTTAGATACATATGGTATACACATATACTTAATTTGTTGCTATTCGTTTCTATTTTTTCAGACCTATGTTCAACAGCAAATTGAAAAAGAATTTGATTCCCTCTACCAACTAGTTGTCGAAGAGAAGGGGCATGTTTACGTTTGTGGTGATGTTACAATGGCTGAAGATGTCTACCAAACCATTAGGTGAGCAAAATACTCGTATAGTGCAAGCACTGTTGTAATTAATCTGTAGAATTTGACATTCACTGCGAGTGAGCTATTTCATTGCGGGCTGCCCTGTGAATTCGATTAATGATGTTTTGGAGAAAAGGATGATAATAAATAGAAATTCTTTATTATCTTTAAATAATTGCGTGAAAAATTAAAGGGAGAAAATCTTGCAGTAAGTGGCAAAATTAATATGAGATCGAAAGAAGTGATAACTTCCTAACAAAACACTTTTCTTATTTTCAAAACATGCTATTATCGAGAGTTTCATTAATTTTTTTTAATTTAAATTTCAATTATATCTCTTACACATTGAACGATATTTTCGGTCAACTATAGGCACTGGGGTCCACATATTCAGTACCTAGCGGCTTGAACAGTTTTGGTTCGATTTACACAATTTTTAGTCACTAGGTGGCATACTATAAATGCATTATTCACGCAAAGCTTTACCCCGGTACAATCATTGTTTCTTGATTTACATAGTGGAAGGGGAAAAAATCAGATGAAATTTAAAATGGTAATTTTTTTAAAACGCCGATTTTCGCCCTACCTATAAACCCATAGAAATATGAGAAGAATGTTACGTACTGAATTTGGTCGAATTCGGTTAAGCAGATCCCAGGATATGGGTTTTCACCTAAAAGTGGACAGTGCCGCGCCCACTGTCTAATTTTGAACGCGGTTCCTATAAAATCATCTAATACCATCCCAGAGATAAAATATAATATCTCTGGCATGCTTAGTGCTTGATTTATCGCGCTTTTAGTAGTTTTTAACAGTACCGTTATATAGGGAGTGGACGGGGTTGTCACTCGATTTTCACACTGTCAATATAAGTGCTAAAAACATTTGCTCTCAGTGATTTTTGTTATTATAGTGTTAGCGGTTTAGGAGATATGCACATTAAACCTATTAGGTGGTGAGACCATGCCCACTTTTTAAAAAACTTTTAAACTTCATACCACCCTCTCTAAAAGCCTATGACTGATATTATAGACTTTAAATGAGATTCCAAATAAAAATTCATTTGAAGTTCAAGCGACAAATGTTACCAGTCACTGAGTAATGGGGAGTAGCTTCGGCTACACAGTCTTACCGGAGACTCAACTCTGGTACCACGGGGAGCAGAATGCCCTTGGACTTCGGTCCAAAATGCTCATTGGGTCTGGCCATTTGGGGAGACTCGTGGTAGCTGTGGTTTAAACCTAAATGCTGGAAGAACTGAATTTTCAGCTCAAAAAAAGAAGTTGCACAAGCAAGTGGGTTCCGTACCCGAAAACGGAAGAGGTTTTAGGTCGGCCTCGAATCCTACCAAGATGGTCAGTGTGCCCCTACACACTAGCCACTGGTAACCAAATAAATACTTGCAAATAGCTCGTATTATTTGGGGCGCTGATAAACGCATTGTTTTGATACGTTGTGCTTTTGAGCACCGTGAGGTTAAACCGTCGACGGCAGGTACTCACGTAAAACACACCGGACGTTGTGGAGCTAAGTTATAGCAAATTATTTGATTTATGGCGTTTTGTGGGCGTGGCAGTGTTATAATTACGCGAGTCTGCAATACCAACCATCTTACGGTTTCAAGAATCATGTGTACCTAGTTTCATAAAGATACCTCAATTATTATTCAAGTTACAGCTTGCACAGACGGACGGACGGACAGACAGTCTCCCGGATTTCAGCTCGTCTCTTCATCCTGGTCATTTATATATATATAACCCTATACCTAACTCGATTAGTTTTAGGTGATACAAAAACAACCTTTAGATGAACAAAGCTATTATACTCTTTAGCAAGATGTTGCAAGAGTATAAAAATATTTAACTTCTTAATATGTATATGTACAAACCATCAAACCATGTACAAATATAGACAATCCTAAGAAAGCCTCTCCAAGTATGAACTCTTAACCCATTTTCGGCGGCATCTAGATCCACTGCATTGATTTTATTCAAACTTTATATTCTTCTTGAAATGAAAACAACTCGAAGGTTTAAATTTTTTTACCACGGCCACGGAAATGTGGTCGAAAAGTCGATCTTCAGCCGAAAACGATACTCACTAATGTAAAACAGTGTTTTATTATTATACATCATTTATTTTGTTCGATGTTTCAATTTCACATTACATTGTATACAAAATGAAAAACAAAAAAACATACTAATAAGTTTTTAAAGAATTTTATTGAAAATTTAATATCTTAACGATTTCGTGGAATTGATTGAAACACAAAACATGTATGCATTTGGTGCATTTATAAGACGAATTTTTGGGACAATTTTGACAACGACGAGGCTTCTCTAATTTGTCAATGCCATGGCCAACTTTGTCTTTACAAACATTCGATTATTGTATGCTCTTCGCTGTGTGGCATATCAATATAATATTTTTTGTCGCCTTTCTATCGTTTCACACGATGCAGAGGTTAAATTGCCTCGTGATTCTGCCTCATAGGGCTTTCTGCACATTATTGTTTTGATCAAATGTGTAGTCTAGCCAGCCGCGTTCTTTCTTCTTAGATGATGAGACGTCAATAAGTTGTGCTTTATTCGTACGATTGTCACGAATGGTCTCGGTAGCATAATATCCCAACGAGGTGAGTTGCCTCATCAGTTGATGAGAGGTGAAAAAGTTGTCAAACCGAACACAATGTTCACGTGGATTATCAAGTAGTTTCAATAACTTTAGTACGACCATTTCACCTAAGCCGCAATTTTTGTATTCGGGCTCTCGATTCTTATTTAAAATGCTGTACGGAATATTCAAATACAAATGCAGGGGAGCGTACCTGCGAATCACACCTGGAACACTTGTTCGGGCTCGTGGACAACAACCGACTAACTGCTTACCTGGAAGGGTTCCTTTTTATATTCATCACCTAGGAAACTTCTATATAATTCTATTCAAGAAATATCTAGTAGAAAGTCCTCGAATATTCCTTACTTGAAAACAAGTTTCCAGAAGATTTTTTTACTTTCTGCTCTGTAATCACGAAAAACTCTATGCACTGTAACTTGTTCGTAAAAGTACGCAGAAATCTATACAAAACAATTTTCTGTTGAATTTATAATGTATTAGTACATTAGAACATTGGAGTTCACCAAAAGCATTAATAAAGAAATTTCAAAATGAGTCGTATCGTTTTCAGTTGGTGGTCGATTTATCGACCAGTACATTTTGCACATCCGTCATCATTCTATACTACAACCAATTTGGTGCAAAAAACATTTGGCGTAAAATATGCGAAGAAATATCACAATCGGAAAGTTTACTTTTCGCAAAAATTTTTTTTATTTTTTCCGAATTTTTTAAAAGAAATTTGGGAAAATAGGTTTTTTGATAATCAGGTAAAATTTAAAAAAACTAATAAATTAGAGAGGTACGAATTTTTGTCAAGCATATAAAGATGCAACATGACACACAAATATTGCTTTGAGGACATACCTATATTATTCATTTTCGACTCGTCTTTTTTTCAAAGTTACTAGTCGAAAAATCGACCATTAGCTGTAAATGGGTTAAGTGTAACGGGAAGGTAATGCGACTTACATTTTTCTATTTTTTCTTATTATTGTGTACTATATATCTAGCATCGTACTACTTGAAAAAATACTTCCTTACATAGATTTTGTAGGAAATTGAAAAAATCGTATTGGACCTTTTTTGTAGAGCATTATTGGTATTCTGTACTATCCATCATGTTGCACTAAGCACCTAAAGGTTCAATACTATATAGGAAAAATGTGTGCATAAAAATATATTTAATTCATTTTAATATACATATGGATATATAATTAGTATTTCAAACATTGGCTTTTATTTTGAAAATCATATGTCAGAAACATATAGTACTACTTACCATATATCCTATCCTCCTATCCTTCTTCACCTGATTAACAATTTCTTATTGTTCCCATAATATCCTATTTTATTAATATTCCTATAAGTATTGCGTATATTATTCAACTTATGATTATTTAGCAAATGGCGATACAATTTATTTTACTTATATTTTATTTTTCATGTTATTTGCTTTCACAGGAACTGCATCGCTATAAAAGAACAAAAAACTGAAGCGGAAGTAGAAGCGTTTTTGCTGACATTGAGAGTAAGTATACTTAAGGAAAGCATACAACCTTTACTTATCTTTGATTTCTTGTCGGTGGTTCATACTACCAGAAAACTATACCCTAAAGTCAGGCCGTGGCTCCCAAACAGGATAGTTTTGAAAAGTTAGAAAAGAAATGCGATAACAATCATACTCTGCAAGCAAATTATTTTGTAATATTTACCATCGAAAGTACCATTTCAAGGAACCATTTCAAATTTTCTTTAACAACTTTTTAAATTTAATATACTCGTTGGTGCTTGATTTGGGTTTTGGAAAGCGAATGAATTATATGGAATACAAAGTTTTGTTATATGGGAAGTGGTTGTAGTCCGATTCCATTTATTTTCACAATGTGACATATGCCTAGATCACCATGATTATCTTATATACCGATTTGGTTGAAATTGATCAAGTAAGTCCGGAGATATGTGATTCCACCTAAATGTGGGCGGTGCCACGTGAATCGTCTACTTTTGTCACCGGCTCCTATAAGCCTTTTCGCTGCAATCCCCTGTACCAAATAACAATAAATATAGTGCTTAGTTATGGCATTTTATAGGTTTTCGATTAATGATGTTTTGTGGGCGTGGCAGCGGTCCTATTACGCCCGTCCATGAATTCGTCCATGCTTTTTTTTGTCAAGAAACACGTATACCAAGTTTCAATAAGATATCTTAATTGTTACTTTCTTGCACAGAAGGACAGACAGACAGACACTCGGAATTCAACTGGTCTCCTCATACTAATCACAACCCTATATCTAACTCGATTATTTTTAAGTGATATATAACTATTATACTCTGCAGCAATATGTTGCAAACCCTTAATGCAAATTTTTCAATCAAATTCGGTGCATAACATTCTTTTCGTATTTCTATATTATAGTGCGAAAATGTGCGAAATCGGATTACAACCACGCCTATTTCCCATATAACACCATGTTAAATTCTATCTGATTTTTTCACTTTCCACTATGCAAATCAAGCAACAATGATTGTATCGAGATAAACCTTTGTGTGAATAATGCGTTTAAAGTATGCCACCTCGTGCCCAAAAATTGTCTAAATCGAATCAAAACTGTTCAATCCCTTAGGTAGTGAATATGTGAACCCCAATTCCTATAGTTGACTTTTTACCGAAAATATCTGTCAATGTGTAAAATATATAATTGAAATTCATATAATCAAATAAATAAATGAAAGTCTCGATAATAGTATGCCTTTGTGTCAAAAATTAGTTGAATCGGATTAATACTTCCTTTAATATAAATTTTTGTCAACACCTGAAGTAATTTCCCGGGCTTTGATCCTTGCAAGTTGCGAGAGTATAAAATGTTCGATTACACCCAAACTTAGAACTTCCTTACTTGTTTTATTAATATATTTTACTTCGCGTCAGTTAAAATTGCGTAGACCAATTTCATTCATATTCCCACTTTTTTTTAAAGTATCCATTTTTTTAAAGTATCACACATTGTTTTTGGTGGACAGCCGGAAATTATTGCGGGCAGAGAAAGGAATTGGCTGGTTGAGTTGACATTGCTGAAGTATACTTGAAATCATATTTTCAAGCAATTTTAAAAATATATAACTCACATATTCAACGGCATGTTCGGCATAAGGTCTGTTAGAATAACGAAAATCAATATATTGAGTATTTGGGAGTTGATGTACTTCGTAGACTAAATTCCCATATTTTCGACATTAAACCATGGTGTACGTGCATGTATGTGCAATATTATACGTTCTGCTAATTTTATAATGATATCTTACTTATTGACTGATGGCGTAAGGCCAACCGGAAGTTTGAAAATCTTATATTAGGTATATGAGAGATTGGGGTAGTATTGATTCGAACCTATTAACAGAATAAAATGCCCCCTGAGTTTCATTAAGGTATTTCACATACCATATCAAACATAATGGAGTAAAATTAACCGGATGTTTGACAATTCTGTGGTTAGTTATTTGGGGGTTAGGACAAGTTTTCACCCGATTTTACTCATTTTAGGCACAAAAATTAATTAATTTATTAAATTCCATTATAAAGAATATACATCCACTTAATTTTATTAAGGTAGCTTATAATGTAGCCGATACATGCGGTATGAAAAAATAAACCGGAAGTTCGAAAATATTTCGATAAGGTATATGGGGGCTAAGGGAAGTATTGACCCGCTTCAATTCATGTCTGACATACTAGAAAACTATTATCACTAAGAGTCACTCCCCGAATTCAACAATATATTTCACAAATTGACTGTTAATTCTGGTAAAAAGTTAGGACCAGGAACTGGGGTCTCCATATTTCGTAACTGGGGGCTTGAACAGTTATGGACCGATTTTTACTATGTTTAGACTTGAGATATCATATCTCTTTGGGGCTTGATTTGTATACTGGAAAGTGGAAAGCGTGGTTGTAGAACGATTTCACCCATTTTCGCACTGGTCGAGTAGTACCGGAGATATGTGGATTCGCCTATATTTTGGCGGTGTCACGCCCATCGTCCAATTTTAGCATCAACTCCTTTAAAATCCCCTTACACCATCTCGAATGTAATATTTAATGTCTATGACGCATTTAGTTATTGATTTATTGCACTTTGTTTTAGTTTTTAACAAAACCGCTATATGGGTAGTGGGCAGGGTTATCATCCGATTTCATGCTTTTTCACACCGTCGAAGGAAAAGCCAAAAATATTAATTCTGTGCAAATTTAGGTCATATATCTTACATGATTTAGGATATATGTATATTCATTAAGAGGCCGGAGCCACAACCACTTTGAAAATGAAATTTCAACCGTAGATGCCCCTCCCCAATGCATTTCACTATACCAAATTATAGATTTATATCTTAATTTAGTGCTTGGTTATCTCATTTAATAACATTTTGGATAATAGCGTTTTGTGGGCGTGGCAGTGGTCCGATTGAGACCATCTAATATACCAATCTTCTTATGGTGGCAAGGAATACGTGCACCAAGTGATCATTTATATAAAATATACAATATATATATGTATATATAACCCTATAACTAACTCGATTAGTTTTGGGTGATACAAACAACCGTTAGGTCTCTTATACTCTGTAGCAATATCTTGCAAGAGTATAAAAATGTGGCGAAAGAATTCGACATTCATTATTCGACGAAATAGTAAATGGATAACAATCAAATTTGGTATCTTATTAACTTATATTGAAGGTCATGTACTCACTTAGCTTTAATAGTATATTTTTTAATTGTGTCAACGAACATTGTATTCAAATCATCCTTATATGAGTAAACTGTGATATAAACTCAACCGAAGAGGCTTAATTTAATATTTTGAGTTGATATAGAAAACGACAACCAGAGGATCGAAATTCATTATATTAGGGATATGATTAAGACCAGTTTCATTTATGTGCTAGTAAGCGCCAAATCATTAATATACAATAACATAATAACTTTTAAGAAAACGTGTCCACGTAAATTCATTAAAATATCACACATGTTCACTACTTTAACGGTTTAAAGTCAGGTGAAAAATCGAAAATCATTATATAGGGTGTAGTAGGGGCAGAAAAGCTGATGGGCTAATTGTATTAATTTTTGACATTGTCGAAATACTTGACGACATATTTTCAAGCAATTTTATACTAAATATATAAATATAAACATATATATGGAGTAAAGTCAAGCCGGTGTTTTAAATTCTGAATATTGGTTATATGGGGCTAAGACAAATTTTCGCCCGATTTTATCCATTTTAAGCACAAAGATATACCGTTATTAGAAAAATACGCATCCTCAATTTCATTTAAAACCTCTTACATTGACCGATATATGTGGTATAAAGTCAACAGGAAATTCTAAATCCTTTATGTTAGTTATATGGGGGCTAAGGGAAGTATAGTACATACCTTACAGATTGACATATTTTCCATACCCTCTGGGGTCCAGGTGTTGTGTACTGGAAAGTGAAAGAATCATATAAAATTTGTAATTGTCCTATATGGGAAGTAGGGGTGGTTGTGGTCCTATAGCACCTATTTTCTCAATGTGAGATATGGAATGTCGGGATAATGTTAGCCATCCTATTTGGTTAAAATTGGTCTAGTAGGTCCGGAAATATATGTGTGTCATATAAAACCCTCTTGTATTATCCTGGGTGTAAAATTTATTGCCTCTGGCGCGTTTAGTTATATGGTGAGTGGCCGGGTTATAACCCGATTTCATCCATTTTCACACTGTCGGCTTGGGTTCCTATAGCATTTGCTGTAAGCGAATTTGGTTGTTGTAGCTTTAGTGGTTTAGTTGTGCATTAAGCCTATTAGAGGGCGGCGCCAAGCACAGTTTATAAACATTTTTAGCTCACAGGTTCCCCTTGCTATTGCAATCCTCCATATATACTATAATTTAGTGCTTGGTTATGACATTGTATAAGTTTTTGATTAATGGTGTTTTGTGGGCGTGACAGTCGTCCGATTACGACTATCTACGAACTCATCCCTTCTTTTTTGCCAAACTCGTGTACCAAGTTTCATTACGATACGTAAATTACTCAAGTTATCACTTGCACGGGCGGACAGACAGACAGTCACTCGGAATTAAACTCGTCTTGTCATCCTATTATGTATCTCCATATCTTACTCCATTATTTTTAGGTGATACAAACAGCCGTTAAGTGAACAAAACTATTATACTCTGTAGCAACATGATGCAAGAGTATAAATATAAACCAATATCATCCCCAAATAAATGAACATGCAAGAATATATTTTCTTATAAATAAATATTTACTAAAAATGGTTTGTTGTATTTTGTGGTATTGGTATTTTGTTTCAAAGCATTTTTCATAACCAATATTAAAAAATTATATCATTCGAAATTACATTACTGTACTCATAAAAGTAGCTTCTGCTGACTAAATACATATGTCTATATTTAAATATTTGTATGTATTTACAAACCAACTCGTTAATAAAAAGTAACCACAAATTTTAAAATAAAGATGCTAAGTATTATTGTAATTTAAACAAAAAATTTAGTTCATATATAAATATGAAGGTACGCATCACTCTATTTACTTATACTTGTATATACAAATTTGTTTATTAATTAATACTCAAAATTAAATAGCTTAATCTTATAATGTAGAAAAAAAGCTAATTTTTGAGATAACAGGAGGAAAGAGAGAGAACATTATGTACAATTCGCTTGGTCGTTCGTTAGTGATAAATAAAATAAACTGATATAGGTTCTATCAGTTTCCCTATATTTTTACTGAAATTTGATCTAAAAGTTTATATGAAATGTATTGAGTAGGAGCGGTGACATTTATATGTATATTTTCCATAATTTATAAAAGATATGAAACCTTTGCATTATTTGATTATTAGTTAGTCATTTGAACTATATCGAAATTCATGGAAATAAGTTATTAATTAAAACAGTTATAGATTGTTTAGTTTAGTTTATGTTTAGTTATTTTTTTTTTCAAATATTGTAATCGGTTTCTAACATTTGAATTCATTGAATATTTTGCTTCATTTCAGCATGAGAACCGTTACCACGAAGACATATTCGGTATAACGTCGCACGTTGGCGAGGCGCGCAACAAATCATCACTACGACGGGGTTCACGAACATTAAATGCGTTATAGAGCAATCTTCGATCTGCAGAACTCGCCATCGAGAAACAAAGGTAGTGCCACTCACGACTGGTCTTTATGATCATCAGAAATATGATAAATATTTAATTTTTTCAACTTATAGGTATAACAAAAAACCTTGCAAAATATTTAATGTTTTTTATTTGGAACAGACTTTTTTTCCTCTTTCATAAAAATTAGTTTATCCAACCTTTTTTGATAAAAAATTATTCATATTATTATTTTAGTCATACTGCTAAAAAATATTTATACATTTTTGAAATCTGTCAAACATACTCGTCTACAATTCACTAATATTATTAAATTAAAAATATAAATTAAACAATAAATACACAAATGACTAAAATGTTTCATTTAACGGCTTTATATTTAAATATAATATATATGTATGTATGTAAATATTTATATCACTTTCGGATAGGTTAGTGACACAAACAAGTGGTTGTCAAAAATGGTAACTGTACATAACGCACCTGCTTAAGCGCACCATTTTCGCAGCATTGTAAAATATTAAATATTAAATGTATAAATCCACATTATATACCTAATTAGTATATATTTGCTTTCAAAGGCATATGATATCTCTCTGTAAACTTTATAACTTTTTTAGAAAGTGTTACATTGAAATCAGCTGAGGAATTGAATTGTGGGGTTCCCCTTTTATGTTTCTTTTTACAATATCAACTTTCTCTTTAAACAACACTTTCATTGAGGTATATGCTTAATTCTTACATTTCTATATTTAACTAACTCGTACATTTCGTCTCGAGTAATTTGCTTTACAAATATTTTGATAAAAAAAAAACCTAACACGGTAAATTTTAGGTCATGAAATCCACTTAAGAGATTTAAATATCCACTGACTATTTCTTGGTTTAATATTATATTTATCGGCTTAAATTACAAAATTTGTAATAAATACAATTCTTAAATAAATCAAATAAGTTTTATTCTACAATACATCTGCATTAAACCAAATCAATATAGTCAAACAATATGATCAAACCAAAGATAGCAGCGAAGTGCGTTTTGGGCGAAGAGTTCAAAAGATGTGCCAATTTTATCCAAAAAGATATGATATTTTAGTAGAACTTGCGAAGCGTGCTAGGTTGTTAAGGTGTTAGAACTAATTCCGACTAAATTTCGCTTCTCTTTTATTTCTTAACTTGATGATCTAAGCCAGATACTAAGACCGATATTATTGAATTCAATATTCATTAAATAAGTGTTGATCGGGAACTAGAGGATAATATTATGCCCATAATGTTATACAATTTTCACTGACCGCCAAGTAAACTGTTTTTTGCAATATACTTTTATATTATTGTTAGACTCGCTTTAAGTTTTACTACCTTTACAACGTACCCACGTAGTACATTTGTGGATATACCAGTTAAAATTCACATAGTGTCTATAAGAGAGTTTCACAAAAATGAAATATCGTATATATGTTTAGATTTTCAGGATCTAAATTACTGAATGTGTAATTCCCATTTATTATATGGATGTAAATAGCAATAATAGCGATAAAATAAAAAGTCACGTAAAGAGATTAAAGTTGGTATTTAGAGACACCTGATTCACATCTTTCCTTAGAATAATGTTATATTATATATATAAATTATTAAAAAAGTTGTATATTAAGTTCATATAAATTTAGTAGTAATCAAGAGCTAATGAAGATATCGGAATGATAATTTACACAAATAGTGCCCTTAAGTATGCCATCTCACGTCTACACATGATCAAAATTGGATCATAATTTATCAAGCCCCCTAAGTTGAGCTAAGTGCCTATGGCTGACTTCTTACCGAACCATAGACCCCACATACGTAATATAAGGAATTCCAAACTTCCAAACCGGTCGACTTTATACCATATATGTATTTCGGTCAATATGTGAGTTACCTTAAGAAACTGAAAGAATCTTTATACCCTTGATTGAGCATGGTATTTTAAGTTTTACCACGACGTCTGAAATTCCTTGGTGCCCTAGGGAGGTTAGTATTGCATATGGCGGAATCAGCCTGTTACCACTCCTACAATGTACCGTTAATCTAAAACCTATAAAGTACTTAACTAACCATCACCACTTACGTTGAATTTGTATCACATTATCTCAATAGAAGACATTTCAATTAATCTAGTAAAAAAAAAATATTAATTAACATATGTTATACGGTAACAAAAATTATGGATATCGGTATGTTCAAGAGCTCTTAGCATTCGACTAATCCAGTGTTCGAAGTTCGGTCTTCTGCGACTTTTCGAATAGCTGCCCTGCTGCGATTGTTTGAATAAATGAAAATTGTTGAAAATAATTTAAGAGCCCTAGTATGTACCTTCCCCCAGCGCTAATATGATGAAAATAGAGATTTATGTTAGGTTTACTTTAATATAAATATACCGGCCTAAGTGATTATAAGACCTATAGCTTAAGTTATATACCTCATATAATTATGATTCATAATTTCGTCGAATAATGATCATTGATTCATTCATTCACTGTGGGGTGAAAATTAAAAAAAGAAATGGTCGTAGCCCCGCCCCTAACAGGTTTAATGTACATAACTTACAAACTTCAAAAGCTATATCAACCAAATTAGTTTAGAACAAATATTTTCGTTACATACTCCGACAATGTGAAAATAGGTGAAATTTAAGTATATAGATTTTGTGCATAACATTATTTTGATTTTCTCATGTTACATTGTGTGGCGGTCTGTAATTTATGAAATCAGAATGGCAGGTGTTAACTCCTTGGTACATATTTCTTTATACGTATCCATCATACGTCAAAGTTCATAACAACACATGCCTTCCATAATATGCCAGTTTGAATTCCGTTAGTTTTTTCAACTTTACGATCGAATCGAAACATAGAACTTCGTATTTAGAAAATCCTCGAATGCTTTGTTATGTTTAAGATAATTGAGTATAGTTTTTACTTTATTAACATGTAACGGGTTGGTAAAATTTACTAACCCTCGTACCTATTCTTCCTTAATTATCTTTTGTCAAACAAGCTTGAAAAAAGGCATATATTATTAATTGGTTATTTTCTCAACAAGAAAGAGAAAAACATTTATGTATTTGTTCTACAAAAGCGAGTAATCTCATACATTTGTATACATATAAATATTAAAAGATAAAAAACCTCAATGCAAAATCGTTGAACTTGTAGGCGCACCTTAGTTTCAGGATGATTTTCATCGAAATCGTAAATTGGAACTCAAATCACGCAGTCGTCCCAATAACACGATACCCAAGCATTTATTTATTTGCATAATTACCTACACAAAAAACACGAATCTGACGACAGCCAACTGCAAGGTGAAATCATAAGTAGGCGCCGTTGGTTCGAGACTATATAAATTATAGAAATTTATTTTTTAGTGAAGGTATTATATTTAATACTAGCATATAATCGAACAAATGCACCTAATTCTGCTTTTACGCGGTTTGAAAATAAAACAATTTTTTTTACGATTTTATTTCATATAGCACGATTCAAAATTTTTCGGACTTTAATTTTATTTGTCAGTTTTAATATCATATCAAAGATTTGAGGAATTCCCTTTTTGTGGATACAAGCAAGTTTACTGGTCAGATTTGTAAAAAGCTCAAATTTAGTAGAACGATCCACGTTTTTTTAAACGGTTTTTTCTGGAACCAATCTACCGTGTAAAACCAGAATTAGGTGTACATATATAAAATTTATGACATGACAATATATTAAGCCTTTGTACAAACATGTGTAATATAAATATTTTTTTACTCTGTCAACGTTGTGCACAGGATAAAACTCTTTTAGCTATCTTATGGTTGGATGCAATACCTAACACTTATGCAGATACAAGTATATATGTAGGTATAGAGTTACACATATCAGAATAAGTAGGATGGCGGGGAAAATTGCTGAGATTTTCAAAAAAGGAACGATAAACTGTGTTAGTAGATACTATTTCGCTTACACATATAATATATTAGAATTTTTATACTCTCGCATTTTGTTGCTACAGAGTATAATAGTTTTGTTCACTTAACGGTTGTTTGTATAACCTAAAACTAATCGAGTGAGATATACGCGGTTATATATCAATGATGAAGAGACGAGTTGAAATCCGGGTGACTGTCTGTCCGTCCATCTGTGCAAGCTGTAACTTGAGTAAAAATTGAGATATCTCTATGAAACTTGGTATATATGTTTCTTGGTACCGTAAGACGGTTATTATTGCAGAATCGGTTCACTTCCATGCCCACAAAACGCCATAAATCAAAACCAAATAAATTGCCATAACTAAGCTCCACAACAAGATACAAGACTCTTATTTGGTATACAGGACCACATTAGGAAGGGGCATATGCAGTTAAAAATTTTTTTTAAAGTGGGCGTGTTCATACCTCCTAATAGGTTTAATGTGCATATCTCCTAAACCGCTAAAGCTAGAATAACAAAATTCACTGGAAGCAAACGCTTATAGCACCTCTATCGACGGACAACCCCACCCACTTCCCATATAACGGTACTGTTAAAAACTACTAAAAGCGCGATAAATCAAGCACTAAACAAGCCCGAGACATTAAATTTTATCTCTGGGATGGTATAAGATGATTTTATAGGAACCACATTCAAAATTAGGGGCACCGCCCACTTTTAGGTGAAAACCCATATCCATCTGAGTTTTTCACTTTCCAGTATGCAAATCAAGCAACAATGATTATATCGGCGTAAAACTTTGCGAGAATAATACGTCTAAAGTATGCCACCTTGTGACCAAAAATTATCTAAATTGAACCAAAACTGTTCAAGCCCCTAAGTACTGAATATGTGGACATCAGTTCATATAGTTGATTTTTTACCGAAAATATCGGTCAACAAGAACGAGGCGGCAAGATCCACAAAGAAATCTAAAACAAGTATACCATTTGACTTTTCGAGAGTATAAAATGTTCGATTACATCCGATCTTAGCCCTTCCTTACTTGTTTATAAATATATTTACTGATTATTATTAATTTAATACTTCTCCAATCCGTTACTTTTCTGCGTTTGTATAACATACAACTTATAACACATATATCGAGCAATTAATACATTTAATTGCTGCTGGGTTACCTCTTAACAATATAGTGACATATGCTCT